GTCTATGGCTGAAGTACACTATATAACAAAGTAAATCAAGCCTTTTTACATGGGTTTTCAAAAACAGTTGTATCTGTCTAAGTTGTACAGTATTCGCTTATGTTGAAATACCAATGTCTGTCAAAACTAAATATACTCTTATTGCTTCCATAGGAGTTAAGAGGATAAGTAGCAGCCAGGTGCTAATCAAATGCGTTTGGTTAACTGACCTCGAGCAAGTGTGAGCACATCTATAAAAGTTTTGAAAATATGTTGGTCTGGATCATTCAGACCACAATCTTCCTAGAAGTGGACGTTCCATCAGGTTCCCTTAGACCAGGGGTCCCCAATCCCGGTCCGCGAGGGCCGGTGTCCCTGCAGGTTTTAGATCTCACCCTGGGTCAACATACCTGAATCACATGATTAGTTCTTTACCAGGCCTCTGAAGAACTTCAAGACATGTTGAGAAGGTAATTTATCCATTTAAATCAGCTGTGATGGATCAAGGACACACCTAAAACCTGCAGGGACACCGGCCCTCGTGGACTGGGATTGGGGACCCCTGCCTTAGACACTACGAGCCTCTATTAGCATTTTAAGTGCTACAGTTCAACACTGTACGATTAGAGGAAGTCTGAACAAGTATTGCTCACTTGGAAGGTTTGCCAGGAGAAAACATAATCTCTTTACAACAAACACAACGGCAAAGATTTGTAAAGTTGGATGTAAATAGATCAGAGGACTTGCTTCTGAGACTGAAGTGGAGATGGCTATGACGCACAGCATCACAGCAAAACTAAAAACAGCACCTCAGCACAAAGGGCTCATATCTACTATCTCCATCTCTATCTCTACTTTTAAGATTAGGCTTAAAACTTTCCTTTTTGCTGAAGCATATAGTTAGGGCTGGACCAGGTGACCCTGAATCCTCCCTTAGTTATGCTGCAATAGACGTAGGCTGCCGGGGATTCCCATGATGCATTGAGTTTTTCCTTTCCAGTCACCTTTCTCACTCACTATGTGTTAACAGACCTCTCTGCATTGAATCATATCTGTTATCTGTTATATCATATCTGTTATTAACCTCTGTCTCTCTTCCACAGCATGTCTTTATCCTGTCTTCCTTCTCTCAACCCAACCAATCACAGCAGATGGCCCCGCCCCTCCCTGAGCCTGGTTCTGCTGGAGGTTTCTTCCTGTTAAAAGGGAGTTTTTCCTTCCCACTGTCGCCAAAGTGCTGCTCATAGGGGGTCATATGATTGTTGGGCTTTTCTCTGTATCTATGAAGCGCCTTGAGGCGACTTTTGTTGTGATTTGGCGCTATATAAATAAAATTGAATTGAATTGAATATCTACTCAATGTCAAACACAGAAGTGGAGGGGTAATGATTTGGGTTTGTTTTGCAGCCATGGGATCTGGTCTCTTTGAAATCATCGAGTCGACCGTAAAGTCCACCGTGTACCAAACTATTCTAGAGTCAAATGTGAGACCATCTGTCCAAGAGCTAAAGCTTGGCCTAAACTGAATCTGGATGTCTTGAAGCACTGACCCTTTTCGTTTCTGGTCTATGAGACCTTAATACCTAACACAAAGCAACCATGACTCTTTCAACATGGATCCTTTGTCGTTGCATGCGTCCTCTCTCACTGTTTCATTTTGAAGGTGTCAACAGACAAAATCTCAGTGAGTGTTTCACACAAAATCAGTCAGGAAAAGTAACCATCTTTTTGTGAATCTTCTCACATTCGGTGTAAGTCATCTTGAGACCCTTTAGATTAATCTTGTCATCTTTTGCCAATTGAAGCAGAATCTCAGCTCGGGAATAAACGAGCAACTGACAGGTTATAGGAAACGTTTGATGTAAAATAAAACTGGAACATAAAATTATAATGTGGTTATGCAATATCACTCTGTCTTTTTAAATATTACTTTTTCTTGTGTCCTATGCTATCAAATGTTGTGGTAACACATTGAACCATATGACACATTGCACTGTGTTGTAATATATTGCATTATCTTGTGTCATCTTGTATCTTTTTATATTCTATATGAATCAACGCATCTCTCTTTCATGCAGAGAACGTCTGAGCTAATTAGTTCAACAAGGCAGTTTGTAAATCCGGGCCAAAAACATAAAAGAGGACACATGCTGTTCCCATCGCTTTTAAGGAGGCTATTTGGATTTTTTTCTCTTTTTTTAAAGATCATCTTCTGATTGTTGTACTTTGTGTTGTTTTTTCACATACATTTCTTATATTTATACTAGAGTTTATACTAGAAGAAGCCTATAAAAAGATGGCTTGATCCCAGCTTCTAGCAAATCCATCTCCTGTGAGGAGCTTTAATAGCTCATGTTGCGATGAGAAATAAAAAATATATATCCCTGTCCTTAAATGGGATATTCAAAAATCTACTTTTTGATATGTTTAGATACCTGCAAATACGAAGTTTTGCAAAAACATTGTTTCCTTCTTTCCCCTACCTACCTCCTAAAAATCAAGTGGATACCATTTTGGAAATGGATCCTTTTGGCAAAAGGAGAATCTCCATCATATACAAACTGATGCAGAGCTTAAGGCTATTACTTGGGAAAAAACTAAAAATAATTGGGAAAAAGACATTGGGGTGGATTTATCTGACGATGAGTGGAGATCTTGTTTGAATCGTATACATACTTCCTCCCTTTGCATTCCCCATGGTTTAATTCAGTTTAAATCGTCTTCATTATACAAAAGAGAGGCTTTCAAAATTTTTCCCAGAAGCCGATCCTGCCTGTCCCAGGTGTGGACATAATCCAGCAAATGAGGGTCACGTGATGTGGTCTTGTCCGAACCTGGATAATTACTGGGGAAATATATTTAAAGTATTATCTCGTATCAGTGCGCAGAACTTAGTGCTTGATTTCCGCATTGGCATTTTTGGAGTTCGGAGTCTCAATACAAAATTAGTAAACCTCAGGAAAATGCCAGAGCATTTGCTACATTGCTTGCGACTTGGAACCCATTTATTGACTATATAAAAATGTATTTTCCAGATGTCTGACGTACATTTTTGTTTGTTTTGTTCTGTTTCTTTTTACATGAGCCTCAGGTGGGGAGGGAGGGGTTTCTTTTTGTTGTTTTTTTTGTTGTTGTTTGTTTGTTGTTTTTTTTTTTTGTATAATCGCAACATTTTCCTTATGTATTGTGACCATGATTTGTGAAAAAATTAATTTAAATAGATTTTTTAAAAAAATCTACTTTACTAATAAAAATTGTGTTGCACCAAACAATTGTCATCATTTTTGTCTTTTATCACTGACATAAGGACATAAGCAAGAAAACATTTAGGTTTCTTCTTCAAAGCCATTTCCTGAAATCACTCCTTCTGTTCCTTCAGTTTATACTGTGCAGCACAAGATTCATTTCAAAGACAAAAGGCTTTCACTCCCTCGACATATTTAATTCATGATATAAAGCCAGTACATGACTACAGCCAAAATTACATTTCCTTTTCTGACTGTCTAAGTGTGAACAGATACACTTTCAGAAAAAAGCACCTTATTCAACACACTGTGAGTAGGGTGGTGCCATCTAAGGTTCTCCAACAAGGGGAACTTATTTGTAACATTGTGCAATCGGAAGAAGGCTGGTAGACCTCTGGAACTTTAAGGAAAACAATCTAAATTGATTAGAAATACCAATTCAGTTATTTATATATTAATTGATACATTTGGAAACATTGCACAGTGCTTACTAACTAAAGCTCTATCTCACACCTGCAGAAATCATTGTCTTTACATTGTGGTAGGAAACCAGTGGACCCATCAGGTAGAGGGAGACACAAAATGAAATATGTGTAAATGTATTGAATATTTTTATTTACTGTAAAAATCCAGGTAAAGTTAAACGTTTAGAATAGAATCAGAATATTGCCTCATTTGTTTTTCTATTTTACCAAATGCCTTACATCTAGAAGAAACAGTGCAACACGCATCTTTTATTTCTTGAGGAGATACCGGATGCTTTATCAGTTACATCTTGCTAGTACAGTTCCTTCGGCTTTAATTGTTCATGGATTAAACAAGGTTCTGGAAACATCATCTACACATCCATGATGTAAATCTCCCACTCTGCCATATCCCAAAGATGCTCTGTTGGATTGAGATTGGTTTGAGATTGACTGCCGAGGGCATTTGAGTGCAGTGAACTCATTGTCAAACTCAAGAAGCCAGTAGGAGAGTATTTGAGTTTTGAGACATTGTGCAGCCATCAGAAGATGGGTACACTGTGGTCATAAAGGGATGACATGGTCAGCAGCAATACTGTGGTGTTTAAACAATGCTCAGTCGGTGCCATGGAGCCCATGGTGTGCCAAAATGAGACCCCCTATGGCATTATACCAGAAACAGTGAGCCAAAACTGGATGGATTCATGTTTCCCATTCTTAGTTGACATTAATGACACCTAGCGTGGTCTTCTGTTGCTGTTCATCTGATTTAAGGTTCAACAAGGAACAGAGGTGCTCTTCTGTATACCTTGGTGGCAACGAGTGGTTATTTGAGTGGCTTTTGTCTTGTTATCGCCTCACAGAAATCGAGCCATTCTCCTCTGGCATCAACACATTTTCACCCAGAGAGCAGAAATGCTCAGAGCCGACCATCCGGCATGGAATCAATTATTGCCCAGTTGATGCTTTAATATATCTAACTAAAATAATTTCTGAGAGCTTTGGAGAAACATGGGGGACAGATGTTTTTTTGTTTTGTTTTTTTACCTGTTTTTTTTCTTAATCATTTGAAGTATTTTTTTTAAATAAATTCACGTCTATAACACCAGTGATTAATACATGTGAATTTATATTGACAGAGAAACGGTGCAGGAGTGTTACTGTTTAGAAAAGGCTGTATGTCTCCAAGTAACACCTGAAACCCTCTAAGGAGACGGAGGAAAGTCGGCAAGCTGAGTTGTTTAGGACCATGAGGAGCGCGCTGTTGAATGAGGGCTTCCAGGAGAGAACGGGAGAAGAGTAGTGGAGTGTCGTTTTCTTTAGCTGCGCGCTGATCCCAGTAATGCCGCCGCTCAAGTGTTGCATGCTGAAGAGTCCCGACGCCTAGCATGAAGAACCGACAAAAGGGGAAATGAAGATGAAGATAAAAGTGGTAATTATGAATGAATGAATCGGAAGTACCACTGTAATATTCCGCTATGGGGAGCTTTTATATATATATATATTTGTGCCTCTCAGAAGTGGAGTTGCAGACTGAGCTCTTTCACTGAATGTGACCCAGTTGCACTTTGCCACATACGCGTAATATTCACAGAGAATAATCCTACAACAGCTCGGCCGTTTAAAGTTGTTTTTCCTGCGTGGGTTGTGAGTGGGGATGGGGTTAAATATGACACGTCTGAACTGAGCAACCTATTTTTGCAGCCTCGTTTTAAAACGTGTTTCCTTGTTGACAGAGCATGTTGAGCGCATTTGAGAAGAATAGCTGGCGTTGCGTTTTCAGCCTTGCATGTGTTATGTTGCATTTGCTTTGAAAGCTGGCAGTTAATTAGTCAAAAAGAAAGAACGAAAAACAATCCTGAGCAAAGGTGCAGATTTCATCCTCAAGCTTGTGGCGGTGTCGGTCCTGAACTGACTGAACCGCTCAGATCAAGTGCTCTGGCGTGATGTTGAGATTTGTGTTTCTGGTGTTTCACGTGTCCCTGCAGTGCCAAGGGGTTAGTGGCATCATCGTCGTTACCATGGTTACCGGCTTTTTGTTGGTGTACAACAGCAGCTCTGGTGACAGATCAGCTTCCTCGTCAAGTTCTTCCTCCTCATCGTCCTCTTACCGTTTGGATGCGCGAGTTCAGTCCACTAAAGTACCGGACAGATCACAGAGACTCCAAACAACATCTCTGGAGGGGTACTCAGGTGTCATGGATCATAAGGTAAATACGGACCATCTGTGCCCTGTGAACCAAGTCAAGTCCTGTTATGGGCGGTAATGATGCTGCACCTGGTTCTTTGAAACTCCAGAGCACTTGCATGCATATTACAAACAGAAATATTATGGTCCACGTTTGTTTTTGTCTTTTTGGTTTTTTTAAAGGTTGTTTAGGAATTGAAAATGTGCAGGATCATCTCAGATGTTTAGCAGTAATGTTATCATATCTGAAAATCAATAATGAAACTGTTTCCATTTTCAAAGATATCAAAGATGTAACACAACACACAATCGCAGTGTTTGTTTGGAGTGTTTGGGTCCTTGCCAGTGCACTGGTGCCTGCACAGAGAGGAGGAGGTTTAGTCCTGGAAAATATATGTTTGGAGGTGAAGTGAAGTGTCTGGTGGCTAAATGTGTTTTGATTTAGGCACATGGATGCACAGAAACCAGTGACACGGCAGAAACTCATGGGCCATAACGTACTGCAGAGCGACAATGTTTGGAAAAGAGCAAGAAATTCGAATTCAGCATCTTTATGACATTTTTGACAAATTAACAGTTCTCCAACCATCTCCATCAGACTACACAAAGGAAGGTGAATTCACCCTGTGCATTTGGACATCTTTGTGATCGGATGGTCATATTATAAACATCATCAGAAAGCACATTGATTGCGCTGATTGCTTTGTTTTTGTTGTTTTTTTAGCAGCTGTATCTCATTTGTATTCTGCTGTTATCCAGGTAAAGCAGAGAGTAGCATGTAGAGTTCAGGTGTCCACTAAAAATGTGTTTTTTAAAATCCCCCCAGTGACTGAAAACTCATTTGTGTATTTAATTTTTGTGCTACTTTATGTGCCCGACAGTTTTCCTTTTTGCAGCTGCAGCAGCAGCAGCAGTGAGGTCTTTTCGTTTTAACTTTTCACAACAATAAAAAAGTTCTAAAAACCAGTTAATTAAACAATTTAACAATTTCCATTAAGAAAGCAGCACGAGTCTATTAAAGGTTTATTTTGCCCTCAAAGGCTTTTATAATACCATCTCATCTCTTAAGCATGACCTCAAAGTTCTCTTTATAGTTCACTCTGTTGCTTAATTCATAATTAATGTCTTCGGCATAAAATATTTAGGGACAAAAGCACTTAAATCAGGGTGCATTTCAACTATAATGTCTACTCAAGATATGACCGCTGTAATCTTCTCGTCGTGTAAGCGGCACCTTCAACAGTAATATAGTACAAAGGCCCGACTCTCTGACCCACTGCATTATCACAGGCTCGTCTTTGAGATAGATGGAGCATTCACACAGCATCACGTGTCCCCTCGCTGACAACAATACACAGCAGAGTGGAGCATGCTGCAATGCTCAGGCAGCACAGGAACGGATTTGGAGAAAAAAGTTTTGCTTAATGTTCACTTTACACTGCTCAGCGATCAGTGAACGAGTGTGAGAGTCATGCTGCTTTGAAGAGAGGATTGATCCTGCTTAGGCCTGTTGGATTCGTCTCTGTGCTGTCTTGAGTCAGCTTGATTCTAAGATCAGTGCTCCTCTGAGATCATATCCCTTTAAAGCAGAGGAAAAAGAATCATTTAGCTCAGATTTTGCAGGTAGTCTTGGGAGAAATGAACGCAAGCTGCTTCCTTTTGGACTTTGCGCGTGGGCACTTTATTATTCATGGTCTCTCCCGTTCATCAACCCCTCCTAGCTGACAGGTGATTTGTGATGGATCCACACTGCGACAGTTTCATACTGCTTAGTGTCACTCCGTACCTCCCTCCCATTGGGGGAGATTCAAGCTCTGCTGCTGCTGCTTCATCCTCTGTCAGAGCCCAAGAGTGACTAACCAGAGCAGACCTGCTGCAGGATCTGTGGAGTGGGTGGATCCTTGCGTATAGTTCCTATTAGGGTCATCTCAGGTCTGCTGCTGCTTCTAGTGGAGGGAATCTTGGCTTTGACACAAGTGTGCGTGCAGACACAGAGACACACACCATCACACAGCACGAGTACACTCACGCAGACGCGCTGTTAAAATTTTATGCCCCCATCAGAGCCAGAGATGCTTGGGAATGTGAGAAAAGCTCTATCTGGTGTGCCTGCTGGACCCTGATTATTGCCTGAATACTTGTGTGCATATCTCGTTCTCATGGGCTGTGATTTCACTAAGGTGGGTGGTGGTCTGTGGCGGCTTTGCTCATTTATGCATCACCCAAGAGGTGGCGAAACACCCAGCACACATTAATCACTAAGACTGTGCTGCCTCATGTAGCAGAGGGTTATAAGCTTAACGTTTGGCTTTCCTCTGTTCTCATCTCGTTGCTTAAATGTGTGAAAAGAAAACAGCAGCGTTGAAACGCACAAATCTCCGTCCTGTGAGATCACACATCAGAGTTATGGTGCATATTTGTGTGGAATAGTTTCTCATTGTGTTTCTCTCTGTACGACTTCTGCAGCGTCTGCAAGTTTTCTTTTGGGGAGATTTCTGCCTCTAGTATGTGTTTCTTTTCTGTGGCGTGTTGCAGTGATTCGAGCTGCTGACTTGAACAGATTCTTTCACGCACACGCAGGTTAACACACTCTTCTGCTTGGCGCCTCATCTTTGCAGCCTCACTGATGTTTTGCCGATTCGAGTTAAAGAGATGTTGACCTTTGAAGAACTGTCAGCAGAGCCAATCTACATTGGCCTTTATAGTCTCTAATCACAAAGCCGGTGTGAAAGCACGAGTGCGGACTGTGTGCCGGCGCGACTTTATGATGTACCTACTTATTATGGGCGATGCCTCTTTGTGCTCTGACAGCTTTTAATGCAGCCAGCCTGGGAGGAATGGGCGCCATTATAATGCTTATTCTGTCTTTACCTGACTGACGTTCAATTTAAAGCCTCGTGGTGTACAAAGGCAGCTTATATTATCAGTCAGCGGGTGGAAAAAAGCAGGAACAAAATAAATTCAGCTCTTTGAGCTCACTTAATGGATGACTTAGGATATACACATTTAAATTCAGCTCAAGGTAAGGGAGCACTCCTGGATGTTATCAGCTGTAACACTCAGAATGATAATACAACGCCTAATTTGTTGTCTAGTTTTTACTGAAAAATTAGGCGAATAGCAATAGTCAAGAGGAAATCATAAACATCCCCAATGATTTTTTGTCTCTTCTCTCTCTTAGTTGACTTGAGCAGAAGAAGAAGACAGGTGCTGTTATTGTCTTAACTATTTTCTCAAATTGAGAACAGGTTTGGAATCGCGACCTGATTGTGTGTCATTGGCAGGAGCTTAATGAGACGTCTGGGGGAACTGTCGGGAGGATTTCGTTGTAATTAATTGGTCTCTGGGAAAAGAAAGCAGCACTGATCGTGAATCCCTCATGCCACAGCAGAGGCACTTTTTCCATCTCCTGCTCTCAGCTGAGCCACTAGCCCAATTCTGTGCACTTTGGAAAGTATTCAGTGACAATGTTCAACATCTAAATGATTTTAATTCATTTCCAGAAAACGCATCTTGTTTTTTTCCCACTACTGCTCCTATCACAGGATGCTACCGTGACAGAAGTCTTTCTATTGCTCACTATAATCAGAATCCAATAAAAAAGTCTAAAACCAAATCAAACAGTTATTGTCTGTGCATTTTTCTGTGTATGCAGAGAGCTTTGTTATTATCTGAAAATGATTACAAACTAATTATCGAGGCACACTGCAGATAGCGTGTGTCTACAGTTAAGCTTCCATAAGTGAACTTCAAATCTGCAGCTGAAAATAAAATAAATAAAACCCCAATTATTGTTCTGAAATTGTTTCTGAAAATGTCTCTGTGGAGACCACTGGGCTTGAGTCTAGGAGTCAGCTGAGATACAATATGGAGCGTGCCCACTCCACTACCTTCTAGCAGTCTCTGTAGATCAGGGGTGGGCAATTCCAGGCCCCGAGGGCCGGTGTCCCTGCAGGTTCTAGATCTCACCTTGGGTCGACACACCTGAATCACATGATTTGTTCATTACCAGGCCTCTGGTGAACTTCAGGACATGTTGAGGAGCTAATTTAGCCGTTTAAATCAGCTGTGTTGGTTCAAGGACGCATCTAAAACCTGCAGGGACACCGGCCCTCGGGCCTGGAATTGCCCACCCCTGCTGTAGACTAATACCATTATAACCAGTGCTAAACAGACACCAAAGCAAGTTACCTGGATATCTAACAGTCATATGAACAAGTGGACAAAAATCTCTGATTGAAGGTAATTCAGTTTCGTAATGTCCTTGGCTAAAACTTCTTCCAACCTTAACCCTACATGTTGATCATAAACCTAACAGGTAGCTTTACCTAAATCTAAAAAAATAACTTAGTCCAAAAGATAAGTCAGAAACTGGTGATGAGAGACAAGTGGGTGTAAATCTTCAGGTTCCTTATCTGG